GATTTTTCTATGCAAAGTATGGAACCCACAAGTGTACATGTTTCTATGTTTAGTATGGAACCCATAGGTGTATATGTTTCTATGCATAGTATGGGACCCACAAGTGTACATGTTTCTATGCATAGTATGGGACCCACAAGTGTATATGTTTCTATGCATAGTATGGGACCCACAAGTGTATATGTTTCTATGCATAGTATGGTACCCACAAGTGTATATGTTTCTATGCATAGTATGGGACCCACAAGTGTATATGTTTCTATGCACAATATGGGGCCCACAAGTGTATACATTTCTAGGCATAGTATGGGACCCACAAGTGTAGATGTTTCTATGCATAGTATGAGACCAACAAGTGTACATGTTTCTATGCATAGTATGGGACCCACAAGTGTATGTTTCTATGCATAGTATGGGACCCACAAGTGTACATGTTTCTATGCATGCTATGGTGCCCACAAGTGTATATGTTTCTATGCATAGTATGGGACCCACAAGTGTACATGTTTCTATGCATAGTATGGGACCCATAAGTGTATATGTTTCTATGCATAGTATATGGCCCACAAGTGTACATGTTTCTATGCATGCTATGGTGCCCACAAGTGTATGTGTTTCTATGCATGCTATGGTGCCCACAAGTGTATGTGTTTCTATGCGTGGTATGGGACCCACAAGTGTATACCGTATGTTTCTATGCATAGTATGGGACATATATGTTGCTATGCAAGTCGCTTGCAATTGTCCAGTGTGCAGGCCTAGCCACCACTGAGGTGGGCTACAACAGCTTTCCTTGCAAATGAACTTTCTGAAACATATGGACAATATCTTTGCATCCCACCACACCAGTGTTTGCAGGCTGCATCTCAGCTTGGATATTATGCAGCAGCTATTACCGGTAAGTATGTAAATATTGTAAAACAAACCTTCAGAACATCTACATTTTTATACGGCACAACTTCAGACAAAGAATCAAAGTTTTCTTCAAATCTTCGTGCGAGTTCATATGTCATCTTGTCAGAGCCTTCACCTCCAATATCATTGTCTCCAGCTAACAGTACCATCTACATACAGGAACGAGAATATGCATCAAGTCAAGCTTTTTGTATTTGAGTTTATGTCATATAAATAATACTAGTATAACCAAACTATACATGATGTCCCATGGCTGATGATTTAAATATTTATGCATCATAGAAGTTTTATTATGGTATGATCCAATTGGTTCCTTTAATTAAAACATAGTGGAGACACATTTATTGGTGTATTCTCAAGCTACAACTTCTTGAAGTAACATTTTTTGGTTTTTATTGGGCAAGTTTCTTTTAATGGTTAACCTAGTGAATCCAAAGGCATTGATAATTGTGACAGTTTTAAATACTTACTACAGATTATTTGACCTTGTGGAAACCTTTCAAGCTAATTAGTGCAAATTAGTTTTTTAATTCATTCCTAGTTGACTAGTAGTCATGGACATACATACCACTTTTAAATATTTATTTTTATTTTTTATTTTAGGGGTAATCTTAGGTTGTTAAAAAACTGTTGAATTCTGTGACTGCTATAACACAGATATTATCATTAATTGTATTTATTAAATTTCTAATTTGATTGTTTTTTTTGCTACCTGAAGACATGAAATTTCCATTTTGCCTCATTGTCTCAAATAGAAACATATATTTATATATGCTATAACTATGGAGAAAGGTTATGCAAATACATTCAAATTGTACTGACCTTAACGTTTAGATATTTTGGTATAACAAAAATGTTATCAAAGAATCTCTTCTGGTAAGAGGAATATTGCTGCTTGGTAGCAATACTTCCTTCATCCACCAAGTCACCAAGGAACACAACAATATCAGGTTCAAAAAAATGTATTGCAAGTTGAAACGTCCTCCGAAGATAAGTATCAGAGTCCCATCGAGACAGCATCCCGATGAGGGAGGGCGGTTCATTGATTATCCCCTGGATTTGTGGGTCGCCGACAAATAAAATCTTCACATTGTCTGGGTGTTCCAGTGTCATTCCAAGTTCCCCAGGAGAAAGCTTCCAACTTCTCCTCATCCGTGCATATTCAAAGAATTCGTTGTAGAGTATCAGACAGAAGAAAAGAATGCTGTAGATAAGTAGGGCTGCACGGTTGCCACGGGTGATCCTCATAATTCAAGAAATGAAGACAAGTGTCTTGATTCATTCGTCATGTGACAGGAATATCCTTACAGTTTACAACAATACAGTTTGATCAGACAAATACGATTCTGTGCACATCCAATACTTGATAGCTACTGGTATATGGACACAGTACCTAGTAATAAGGTAAAGACAGAAGTACAAAAAATGTAACTGTTAACAATTTAACAAATTGACAAATATATAATAATGTTTGCATATGCATCAAACCAAACAGGGAAATATTTGAAATACTGCTGATAATCAAGATAAGCTACAAGCAAGGACATCATATTCCATCAAATTCAGTATGGTCATAAAACACATTAAACTTGACTATGGAGTAAGTTAAGCAAAAATCAAATTCACAATTTTGTAGAGGAGCTTATAATATAAAATAAATTACAGATGGATTTTATTTGACACAAAATTTAGTATGAATGAAAAAACATACAATAAATCAGTGGTCAAGAAAAATAAATGAAAAACAGACTAAACTAAAACTTAGAAATAAAATCAATAAATTTCCCGACGCAATTGACAATGAAGCTATCTTTAGTGCCTAGCAAGCACTTAAATACCAGGGAGCTGTAATGAGAGCTCCCTGTAAATACCAAACCGATTGAGTGTAAAATTAATTAAGGTGCCAGGCGGTGCATGACTTTAGCGACACCGTCTGGTCCCTACCTGTGAAGGGCGATACATTCAGAGCATTTCTCGCATAAAATCTGAGAACAGACTACTGGTTAACTGCTTGAAGAATAAATGAAACATAAAAATGTACTGTGATTTTCGAAAATAACGAAAAACAATCCTAGTTTTTGTTCGTAACCGCTGCTCAGTAGTTAAATACGGGTTTACACTTAATGCCAATATGTCGCTAAACATAAAATATTAATATTTTTCACTAAATTAAAAAAACAAACATACGAGCACATGATCGTAAACTCGATATGCCAGGACTGTCTGACTTCCACGCCGACATTGTTGCCGACAGGTACAGCCCAGTCCCGAAACAACAGGGGCAGTTCCTGAACTCAGGGTCAATCCGGAGTACTGTACACAAGAGGTTGACAGTCGTGCGAAACACCACACAACCTGAAATTGTATCACATTAGGACCGGAAAGTTTAGATAAGAAAACAGTTAGTTTATAATCACCTCGTCGTCAACAGTAAATGGATTAACGCATCATAAACTCTTCGGTAACATCCCGGTTTTACGGTTCAAAGCATTCGGTTCACAGTGTAGTCAGTGTCAAAGGTTAAAACACCACCAACGACAACCATGAAATGCGCATGCGCTTTTTGATACGAAACCGAGGCAAATTTTTGTTGTGTGTATTTTTCTTGAGTTTGTTACCTGTCGTTCTCTGGGTTATCTAATGGTTTTTGTTTTGCAGAAGACTGTCCAGTCCAGTCTTGAGCACCCTCTGAATTCAGTAACAGGTTTCCTACACGCAGCTGAAAAACACTACATCAAAAAACTACAAAAATGGTAAGTAGAGCTAGTTTCTAGAGATCGATCGATGTACGTCGAGAACACAGTCAGCTGGCAT